AAATATTTGTTTAGGGTCCTTCATCCTGATTTTATTCATATAAATGGCGGATTTTAATGTCTTTAAATCCAGCTGCTAAGACATCATGAGAGTAAATCATTAAAATTTTTTCGAAATCAGCAGGCAGAAAAAGATGGCATGAAGTGATTTCTCGTGGTGCTCTCTTGGGAACACAAGATAAGACCACCATCAGCCCAGGCCCCGGACATGGGAGGAGGGGAAGGAGACAGAACCTTTGCTGCTCAAGCCTGCCTTAAAAGCTTGAGTGACAGAACACACTGTCCAAGGTCACTCAGCAAGTCAGTGGCAAATGCAGGAATAAAATCCAGAATTCCAGCTCCATACACTACTCTGCAGACCCCAACAAGCAGCAACAGAACTCCTGTCCCTCAATCTAATTAATTTACTCAGCAATTCAGTAACATATGTGCAAGGAAAAACAAATGTCAAGACAAGAAACAAATTCTACTGTGGCGCAGGCTATTTACTTGACTCAAGAGAAGGTGCTTTCCTGAATGAATCTACAATAAGGTCAGGAGATGTTTTGTGTCTTCCCTTTGCCCTTTATCTGTCTGCCTGTCCTCTGAGAAGCTATTAAAGGCATGCTCAGTATAACAGAAGGACTGTGAGTGGAAAAGAAACAGGTGAAAATAAACTTCTCCCTTTATTTTAAAGTGCGTGAATTGAGTATTTAAAAAAAAAAAAAAAACCAGAAAAAAAAAAAACTTGGCCACAAGTAAGTTACATAACTTAAGCCAGTCTAAAATTATGTGCCAGCAATTTACATGAGTTTTATGTAACTGTTTATACTGCTGTTTATTTAAAAATTACTACTTATCTTGGCGACCGCAGCAACACATCGTGCATTTGCTAGCTCTGGAATACAGGGCACCTTCATTAAAACACATAGTCACCAATATATTAAACACACAAAAAAGCCCTGCTCTGACATAACATGAAGTGTCAGATGGAAAGCCGCAACAGCAAAGACATTCAGCGTTCACAACAAAGCAGCCCTTTGGGGTGTTCAGAACAGGACTGGAACATGCTCCATCCTTAATTCACCCAACAGCTTTCAGGTCCTTTACAGCACAGTTGGTGCAGTCTACAAGACCAGCTCCTGTTCCTGGGCTCTTATAAAGGACCCTCTTCATCCTCAGCTTTCTATACTTGAGCATGTTTATAATTCAGCATTTACATGCTGAGGTGAGGCAGCCTTTTGTTCCTTCTTAAAGTCCCAAGGACTTCAGTGTGACACAAATGGTTGGTAATTTCTGTTTGCTCTCTCCTAGCACTCTCCCTCTCACAAAGGAGGCAAAGATTTAGCTAAATCTTCATGATGGGTTGCTCATGCACAAATTAGATAATTTTTAGGTCCAGATCCTTCACCAGGGTAAGACCATGAGTGAGTGGCTTTGTATTGGTACCAGGAAGAGCTGCAGGCATCCCACAAGGCCAGGCAGTAGGAGCAACACTGGCCTGATATATGGATTCTGCCCTTGTTTTGGGACCTGTTGACTGAAGAAGGTGCTCTACCCCTCCTTACTTCATTTTTACTTCTATTAAATAGGAAAACTGGTATCCATGTCCTCTTAGGAGGTTTCTAGTCCAACGAATCAGTATAGCAGAATATCATGTATTATTTTTAGATGACCATTACAGTAGAGAGCTGAAAACTGGCAATGCAGAGCAGGAGATATAAACCTAAGTGATAAATTATTTCCATCGATTTGCATTTCTTTAAAGCTGTATCATGTCATCTTCTCACTTGAGTCAGTAAAATCATGGGAGGAAAAAAGTTTGTTAAAATTATAAGTAAGCAAGAAAATTCCAAAACTTGTTATGAGTTTCTTTATGACAGATATACTTTGAAATGAGGGGGAAAAGAAGGCACTATTCCAACACAGCTGTTGAAAAAATATTTATTTTTCAGTTATGGAAATTTTTATTGAAACTAGGGGATGGTTTTTTTCTCAAAAGTGAGGTTTTAAAATAAATATATTTGAAAATTAAGTTTTGAGTAACTTTGGATACACCATCTTGGTAGGTAAATATCCTTTAAAAGGAAGGTTCTCAACCATGATAACCATAACCTGATCCACAGACACATATCATATTCCTGTGTTTCGATTCCATGGGGCTCAGCCACCACTGGCTAAGATAAAAAGAAAATAAAATGCTGGCATTGCTGGCTGCACAAGGAGAGGCACAGCAGAGCACAGGCTCAGCCTGGCAGCCAGTGAAGGATGGGATGGTGGGGGGACCACGGGGCACCCAGGGTGCCCCTCAGCAGCTCTTGGCAGGACGAGCACTGGGACACTGGGACACTCTCCCGAGGCAGCTGCTGTCCCTCGAGGGGCTGGGACATCCCAGTGTCACTCAGCTCTCAGGGGCGCACTGACACCAGCTGGGGCAGCAGCTTGCCCTGGGAGATCAGAGCAAGCCCTGTGATTTACTGTCACAAAACCTCTCAAACTTCCCTGCTGCTCCTGAGATGGCTTTGAGGATCGTGTCAGCCCGTTCTCCCCTTGGAAACTCAGCATCTCTCCCTGAACTCAGCAGTCTTTGATCATTTCTGAGAATAAACTGCCATGCTGTTGCTAGTCACAGTATTGTGGTGTTCCCGCTGGTCACAGGCTTGCAGACAGGTAGGATTGCAATCCTGCTCAGATTAAGGCATTAACTCCTCCTCAGACAGTGTGCCAGCATCTCGAAATTTTAGGAGCACTCCTCTAAATGCCAAATGCAAGTGGAAGGGGACCCACATCAAGGACAGGGCTGCAATGTTTGTTTGTGTAAGCTACCCAAATTTAAATATGCCTCTCAAAGTACCAAGTTATGTCTGGGCAGCCTCCAGTCCATGGAACAGTTAAAAATTTGGGAAGATCAAAAGCTGCTTAGAGCTACTTCTCCCATCCTGGGCTTTTGCTTTGTGCTGCCCGGAGTGTGGCCCAACCACTGCCCCTCTCCTGCAGCAGGACACTGGGGCACACCTGGGGATTCCAGTGAAGGCAGGATTTGCTGGCAGAAGCTGTCCTGAGTGACACTGTCTTGCTTGACATGAATCCTTGAAAATGGATTCTGACTGGTGTCTGAAGCGACTGCAAGCCTGTTGACAACACGTTCAGCAGTCTGAACAGGGTTTCTCCTTCTGGAAAACAGAAAATGTGTCTAAGTCTGCAGCATGTGTACAGTGTCTGCAGTGACTTAAAACGAGTGCAGTTAGAAACCTTGAAAATCACGGTTTACAATGGAAACTCTGACAGGCCATCAAGTTCAATGTTGCTTTTAAGCATTCCTATAATTAAACTGTCAACAAAACCCTACAATACGGTACTGCAACAGTCTCTGCATTTTCCTACTAATGTGCAGAGATAGCTTCCACTAAGGGTGGCAGTAATTGGGTATTTAAAACCCGTGGAAAACTAGAAAAATACATGGTGAAAAAATTCAATGAGAATATAAAAAACCAATCTTCTTTTCATTGCAGCAAACACAGAAATGTTGCAGAGCATGCTGTGCAATTATAGAAACAAAGTGCAATCATAGAAAAGGAGCGATTAGGGGAGAAAGGAAAAATGAGTTGTGCTATTGATACTTGGCTGTTTCAGAAAAATGTGTTGGCAGTTAAATGTTATATATGCTGAACAAGAAATTCTCTGAAGCCGTTTTCTTTTAACATGAAAATATCAGTATGACACTGCCAGAAGATGAAAATTCCACATGTTGAAATTAGAATACCTATATCCTCTGATCCTTTCTAAATTATCAACTCCAATACTAATGAATATACAAATAAAGTGTCTAAAACCTATTTTGTGAGTAGATTTCACAAAATAAAGGAAAGCTTTATATTGAATACTGTGGTGTAAATCCAGGAAATTCATGAGATTTCCCAGTTTCTACTGTAGAATAATTCAAGAGATTAATTTCACTATGGTTTTGACAGGTTTTCCTGGAAGTTTGAATCTGAAGGTACAGGTCACTAAATCCCAGAGGTATGACTCCAGGTTTAAAGAGGATGACACCTCTCATTAATAAGGAATAATTTAAGAAAAAAAAGCTGGTTTCCTGCCTGCAGCCATCTGTTCTTCACTTGCATATATTCTTCTTTCAAAATCATCCAATATTATTTCTTGGTCTGCTCAATGCTATTTTATGTGCACAATAATTTTTTCAAGTACTGAGGCAGAGTATGGACAGCAGGACTGCTGGTTCCATAACCCCTGAGCTCAGCAGGAACAGGGGTGACAGGAGCACTTTGGTGAAGGTGCCCATCACAATTTGGGCTGAAGGAAAGATGGGAGGGGTCTGTCAGCCCAGCAGCACTCCAATCCCTCTGAAAGTGGCTTCAGCTTACCAGGTCCTGCTGGAGCTCTGTAATTGCAGTGACCAGAGCAGCAGTAGGCCTGGCCAGGAGAGCCAGAACTACTTGAAACCAACCAGGAGGCTCCAGTGAGTGTCTGGTCCAAGGAGAATATTTCTATCCTAATTAGCCAGGGGTAGTTTGTGGGTCTGAGAAGCCAAAAGGACTCTCTGCCCATGCCCACCTGTGGAAATCAAATGCAAGTCGGTGCAAATCCAATGCTTTTTGTTGGTTAGGATGTATAAACTGCCAAATGGCATTAACAGGTCCAATTCCTTCACCATCTCTCTTTTTTTTTTTTTTTTTTTTTTTTTTTTTTAACTGCTTCTCTGTCTTTAAAAGGAAATTGCTTAAATTAGGGCAATGGTGACTCAAAGTAATTTGTATTGCAGTCTATTTTTAAGCATTCTTTCCTGAAAAGCTTTTGAACAATATTTTGGGTTTATCTCCCATACACAGAGATATAATTTAATCACTGTGTATTTGCTATACATTACTGTTAAAAATGACCTTTAGTACTCACATGGACTGGAAAACTGCTAGGAGAAAAGTTAACCTGTGAGTGATACAAGTCCTTTGGCTTCTTTGCTTGGACTGGTGCCTGACTTGATTTTCTCCTGCTATTTGTTTCTAGTGCAATGGAGCTCTTCAGAAGACTTTTCTCCTTTGGCTGGGGAAATAATCATGGATAATCTTCACTCTTTGAGGTGCTCCATCACAGGTCTCAGGACGGTGAGTTCCAGAGGACACATTTACACCTTCATGGCCTCATCCCCACAGTGATACAAAGACATGAGAATTTGCATCACCACCCCTTGGAAATCTCTGCAGAACCTTTCTTGTACAACATGTTGTAGTGATTGAGCACGATACGTCTGGTAACCAATCCAAAAGTCAAAAAGGAATAGAACCAATTTCTGAGTTATCATTCTCAGAAGAAATTGGGACAGACTGGAGCAAGAGCTGTTGTTTTCTGGGTCATGGGATAATCAGTGCAGATCAAAGGCTCTTGAGAAATCTCGACTGACTCTGATGACCAATACCTCAAATAACAAGTCTTTCTCTTCTCCTTCTTCCAGAAGTGTACATGTTGATGCAGTCATTCTCATTTTTGCTATTTCTCCTTGCATATCTATTTTACACCAAACAGAATTGGGTCTCAAACCTAATCCTTAAATCTCTGTAGTATGTTTCAATTGATCATGGTGTATTTAAATTATTAAAGCTATTTAAGTTGAAAAAAACAAAAAAAGATCTTTGTGAGGAACTGCTTTGCAGTTGTTACAGCCAAGATTTTGAATCCAGTGACAGTTTTGACTCCAGTTGTTTCCATTTGCAGGGCCAGAGATATTATGTCCGTGTCTCAGCATACAACATGAGAGGATGGGGACCTCCATGCAGATCTACTCCTGAATATGCTTCTCCTTCAAGTAGGTTGGGTTGGTCTGGCCTCCAGTTTGCTTAGTGATGTTGGAGTTCACAACGTAATTGTCATGCTATCTAGGAGTAAAATAAATAATAAAACTCCACTCCTTCCAACTCCCAAAAATTAGGCAAAGTAAGAATTGATGTATATTTATGTCTCAGCTTTTATTCTTCTCCAGTCCTTTGATGGAAAATTGTTTTCTAGTCATGAACACTTTAAAAAATTAGGAATATTTTAATCCTCATTTCTTTTAGGAGAGTTCTGATATATGGAACTTCATTTTTCAGTACATTAATGGATTAAAACCTGATTCTGAGCTGGTAGAAGCAAAACACTTACAAGTATCTCATGTAATTTTGTGCTTCACCTTGTAGCATTATAGATCCCATTCACTGGACCACTCTTACAGAATCCTGTACATAAAATACTCCAGTGAGGACACACATGGTGGTAGGATGTCGCCTGTAAATGTTGCAGAAATGTCAAAAAGAAAATATTCCTTTTCCAATCTCTGACAGGTCTCCTCAAACTTCATTAGGGCTATGAGTTGTCATTTATAATTTTTAATCTATTATAATCACGTTGTATTGTTAGTTGCTTTTCCAGACTTAGTGCTCCCTGCCAAACTGGCTCAGTGTATTACAGCTCCCCTTGTATTGATTACTGCAGTAAAGTGGGACTTCTCTTTTTATTGCATTAACACTAGTTTTTATCAGGCTAATGTAGCAATTTAATAACCTTGCATGCTAATGTGAAAAAATATAACTAGCTGTACCTACTCTCAGTAGTCATAATGGAGAGGGTTGGATAAATAAGGCTTTTGCATTACCATTGTCCCATTTTGCTTCAATTTTTTTCTTGTGTTTTCTCCAGAACAATAGCAGAACTAGGCTAAAGAAATATTCTGCTTGAGAACAAAAATGGGCTACAGTCATGGGAAAAAAATCTACAGTGGATTACTGAATAACTTGGTGATGTGCAATTACCTTGACTATAGCCAGGTGTAACTACACAGGACTTGGCCCCAGAAACCCAAAATTTACATCAGCTGGGGGACAGATTCTTTCACAGTAGCTGCCAGTTATTCAGCCAAATATCCCCAAAGAAGGAGCACTCCTGGCAAGACAGGTGGTATTTAAGATTGCAGCTTTGTATGATGTGAATTTTGCTTTCAGCATATTGCATTCTATTCCTTTTTTATAGTCCCCTGCTATTAACCTTCTGAAATCTGACATTATGTGCCAGTTCCAAAGTTTTGGGGTGTGAAGGAAATCTTCCTGCAGATTTCAGTGGCTCAGCACAAAAGCCATGGAGAGAATTCTGTTCATTCCCCTTGTACAGTATCTCAGGGTGCTAATAGTACAGAAAGTTCTGTAATTGCTGGGTTTAGGGCCACATGCTTAAGCTTTCCAGTAAGACCAGCAGAACCTAAGTGCAAACCTTTTCATTAAGTAATACTCACATTAGAGAGACAAGATGTTATTCACCATTGCAGTTACTGGGGGCAGAACTTCCCTCTTCACATGACTGCCTTCACCACTGGTTTTGAAAAGCAGATTTGTGCTTGGCAAGGAGGCAGCAAGCTGACATTACACCAGTGCTGCATAACAAAATATGGCCCTGAGCTAAAATTTAAATGGGAACACATTAATGCTCTACAAAGTTGTCTGCAACAGCAGCTATGAGAATATGCAGGGGAAAGGAAATCTTCAGGGCCTGATGCTGATCCAGTCCAATCCCAGAGCATCAAAGGCTGGTGACACTCTTGGAGATGTGTCTCTGTGACACATCTGACAGGGAGCACTTGCCACTTACCCCACACAGCAGCAGCCTGTAAAGTGGTGGTCAGCATTGTGCAGCTTCTCTGTGAAATCCCAGTAGACAGAAATATTTCTAGGTTTATTCATTATCAGGTGAGTGATAGACAGTGATGGAAGCTGCTCTGGTTCCTGTGTCATTTTTAAGGTAGTCAGCAATCTGGAAGTTCAAAAAGTTGGAAACCACCAGGACAGAGAAATCACAAGGTTGTTTGAAACTCTACCAGTCTGATAACACCAAAGCACTCTGAGACTGGTGAGTTCCAGCTGGTCCCTCCTGCTGCTCCCAGGAGCTCTAAGGACATTTTCCCCAGAGAGAGCAGTAAATGCAGCTGGCCCTGATGTCTGCAGTAGCACAGAGCACACAGGACAGCCCCTCTGCGGCTGTCACACTGCCCACAGGCTATCAGGATACCAAATGTCTTCTCTTTCCAGCCTTTCATGGGGCTTACTCTGGCTGCTACACTAAATGTAAATAAACAAGTATTTATATCCCTGGCATAGTGAGCCCATTGGAAGGAATGCTTGACTCCAAACTTGCACTAGAAACTGGATCTGTATATTTAGTGAGTGAGAAAACTGCTGGTGGCTACGAGTACGTACACGGCCTCTGTGCCAGCAAGATGGGAGCATGTCTCCTGTGCAGACAGATCTCTTAATACCTTGATCCACAACTCCTTTGGGCCAGGAAAAGCGTGCAATGAGCTTTTCTCATTATAATCAAAGTATGAAAATAGCCAAGTCTGGAATTAAAGAGCTCCTTTCTGATACGCGCCGTTTCTTCCTATTTGTGATGAGTTTGTTTTTTAAAATGTAGACTGAGATTCTCATTAGCAGCAAGTGAGTGAAAACAAAGGCTGTTGGAGGTTGAATGTGTGTGGGACAAACGCAGCAGGTTTTTGCCTCAGGAGTGCAGTGCTGAGCAGCCCGTGGCTCCAGGGCAGGAGCTGCCAGCATTTGTTCAGGCCTCTGCTGGGAGCAGATCTCCAGAAGTGATTTTATTCCAAGCACATTTCTCTGGCTACAGGGCAAGCTCTGGGGGTAGGAAGATGTTCATTCTCTGCTTTGCAGAACTATAGGCAAGTCGTGGAACCTCCTGGTGCTGGCAGGAGTGACCTTGGTGAGGGGCTTAGTGCCAGGACAGGCTGAGAGCAGCCCTTACTGCAGCACCAGAGCCCATTCATGGAGAGAAACAGACATGGTCCAGTCAGTCACTACACAGCTTCTCAGAGCTGCTTGTGAGCTCTTTGTTAATAATCATTATGATTAATTACCCAGCTGGCACAAGGCAAAGAAACCTCAGCGTACAAGTAACAACAGACTTAGAAACAACTCCTGCCCGCCGAGATGCAAAACTCCTCTAGAGCCGAGAAGTACCAGAGGCAAGAAAATATTTTTAGACTCTCTCCTGCACCTTTGTGTTTCATTTCTGTTTATTTCCTTTGTTCAATAGACTGGAAAGACTGCAGTGGAAGAGAGCCCCGGCACAGGGGACACACAGAGGCCCTGGAACGCCTCCTGCAGCAGGTCCGAGCAGCTCATCAGCACCACAACTGCAGAGGTAAGGAGCAGGAGCAGCCTGGTAGGGCACCAGCTGAAGCCTCGGTGGCGCCTGCAGTTTTTAGCAGTTTTCTAACTAGGTCATACCTTCTCATTCATCAGGACAAGAAAGATATTAATATTGGCCCATCTGGAATCACTTTAGCACACTATCTCGCTCTTAACCCTTGAAATCGGTTGGATGAAAACATCTGAAGGCTGCAATGTGCGCACACACAGGCACAGTCTGTCTCCCTCCATACCCTACACACCTATTGATTTGTTTTTCCCTACAAATTAGTTTCACACAGGATTCCACTAAAATGTTTTAAGGAAGGCTTTTTTGTCTTTTCATATAAAGAAATACTTTAGACAGTTAACAACTGGTTTGGATCAAAAGAGAGGAATTGGCTGCCTCCAAATGGAAGACACTAAGTGGATGGCATGCCAATCCATAATGAAAAATACTTTCACAATGCAATGGGAAGATAAGATTGCTACATTTCAAAACAGAATGGATCAAAACTAGGAGAGAGTTCAAACCTCAGCCAATCTTCATTCATGAGAAACAGACTGTGCCTTTAATAGCTCAAAAGCCAAGGCAACATCTTGGCATTCTTTTTTTTTAGAGCCTATATAAAAACTCCTGTTCTATATGGGTTGTTGAAAAGTACTATTTATTTTCTTAAAACAAACTTCTAACTGGAATAATGCCTCATTGCAAAGGGACTTAGTTTAAACAGAAAAGTTAAACTATCATGAAGTTTTCATTTTTCTTCACCTAGTATGAATGATATGTCAAGTTATATCAACTGATTTAAAATCATAGAAATATTTTGAGCTAAAATCATCTGGCTGAAATGAAAAGATGCAGCCTTTGTTCTTTACATGCAAATTTGTAACCATCACACTGATCCATGGTCTGACACATCCCATTGTAACCATAGCAACTTAAACTATTCATCTATGATGCTTGGAAAGGAGATATTGGAAATGTTGTTTCTCTAATTAAAATTCATGCAAACATTATCACTTGCAGGTGGTCTTGGTACTGAAAATACAGATGATGTATTCTATCTCTTACATGGCTTTTTGTGCTATTAAAGAAGGTTTTTTATGTAGCACAGTTTTTCCTTTCTGGAGTTAGTGCCTATCTCAGCTCTTTCAGGCCACCTTTCCAGTCAACAGGGACTAAGTGATGGAACATCTGAAAATATTCTTAGTATAAATTGTTTTACTGACATAGCAGCCCAGAACAAAAGCAGTTATAACATGCAGAAAATACCTCCTTTTTGACATTCTGACACCAGTGCCTGCTTCTTATAAAATTCCACTGCTCCTGAAATTAACCCCAGTCTCAAAACTGAGCAAAGATCACTTCATTGTTGATTTCCTAACACCTTTTCCTTGAATAATAAATTACAATACAGGAAATATATTTAGCTCAGAACATTTTCTTCTGTGCCTGAAAGTCTGTGCGACCTCACATGTACCACACTGGAGTCAGCTTGAGCAACACCCTTGCCTCCAACCAAATAAAAATCTCATAATTGCTTGTAATGCCAGCATTATACAGTAGTATACTTTGGATAAATCAGCATGGTATCATCATAGGAGAACCTTTGGAACTTTTCTTAAATATATGATGATGTCAATCCCTTTTATTTCACTAATTTGATAAGGAATCCAAACAAAGTTTACAGGAAAAGTAAGAATTATGACATCACTTTGACCCAAAAATTTTATTCTGGTATTTATCAACCTCAGTGGAATCTGAGGAGTCTGATCAAGGATCTGAGATAAGCTTCTCAGAAAACCCCAAACAACAGCTTTCACTTCGTGTAATACAGAGGCTTGATCTCTATTCTTAATAATGTAAATTAGCAGGAGTGACTGTCAGGGTGGAAGTCAGCCTGGCCCTGCTGTTTGCACACAGGCTGAGGACCTGCCCAGGCATTTTGCTGTTCTTTGCCATGATTCCCATTACCACATTCCGATTAACGGGATCGCTGTTTGCCCCTGTCAGTAAACAGCTGGAAAGCAGCTGTTTGAGGAAGATCCTTGACTCTGCCTGCAGTGCTGGTGAGCTGCGAGAGCAGAACCAGGCTCTGCAGGAGCCAGGGCTCAGGGGGAGCAGGGCTGGGTCAGCCCTGGTGCCCAGGCACCCCGAGTGCCCCGCAGTGATTCCCGTGGGGAATGCGCTCCTGCTGCTCGGGTTGGTTCAGAGGGCAGGACAAGTGACAGGAAGGTGGAAAAAAACTGAGAGCAATCAATATAAATGGTCTGAGATTATCTGAACAATGCGGGCAAAAGCCTCAGAAGCCAGAGGAGCTGGAGGATGAGGCTGTGTGCTGCTGCTCCTGCGGGATCTGGGAGGGGACATTCCCACATTCCAGGCAGATCTCTGCCCAAGTCTGTTCATTCAGGCTCTGCCTTTTGCCCTGTGCTCTGCATTGCAGGCGCTGCAGAAAACAAGCTTACAAAAATACCAGGAAGAATACACTGGAATGTACAGTGAGTTTAAGAGCTTTTGGAATTAGATCAGCTGTTGCTTTTGAACCTGCTCTGTGATATGATGAAATCTCCTAGGGAATTACTTAGGAAGCTTTGCTTTCATATGTTTAATCTTCTGGAAAACCCTGATGATTACAAATAACAGTCATCCATTTGTCTTTATAATTCCATGCTACAGACTATTATAACTGAGTTACAACAATTGTACGTCCTGGCAACACTTCAAATATATTTTTAAGTATTTTTTTTTCTTTTAGATCTTTCTTTCTAAACAGTTCAGAGTAGATTAAGTAATTGTGTGACGCTTCATTAAGAAAGGAACTCAACTCTGCAGTAGAATTCTTACCAGATATTTTCCTTCTGAAATTCAGTTGAAATGTATTTTACTAGACAAGTCAGAGGTCAAATAAAAATATTCTCATTTTAATTTGATTCACAAGCAGCGCACATAGTTTTAATTGCATTTAGCAAAGAGAGGGATCTCTGATTCCACAAGGCATTTAGGATGTTTAGATTATAATTCTTTGTGAGAATATAGAAAAGCGGACTTGAGAACCAAGCTATAGACTGAGAAGTTCAGGTTGAGAATTTAAGAAGAGACCCCAGATGCACACAAGTTTGAGGGGATGGTTCTTATTCTTCCAATATATTGCTTTTAAGTATGGGTTGTAGTTATATAAAAAACTGCAAAGAAATCTTTATACACCCTCTACCTTCAAAGAGAAAGGCTGCCAATGTCATAAATACACCTTTTTATTTAATTGCCTATTTCAGATCAGGTTTGGATGCTTCTGATCTAAATCTAATCACTGGAAATTCTCCCATCTTGGCTGCTATGTGCTCACTCCCAAACTTCTATTAAAAGAGCTCACAGCTCAGTTGCTGTATCATTTGTTAATATAAACTTACTGTATTGCTACTGGTGCTTTTCTGTGAAGGTTACTCTATGTTATTTATTAGTTAATTAAGTAACAGACAAAGTTCCATTTCCTGCAGATCCAAATTATCCTCTAATCTCAGCTCCACGTTTTCTGGCTTCCACACACACAATACTGTAAAATAAAAGCAAACAGAAATATAAGAGAGTTTACCATATCCATCTAGTTTTACATTAATTCTTTTGCTGCTGGCTTCTGCAAAGCTGTGGAATAAACCCAAACCACTAAATAGACCAATAACATACATTTCACTTGTAATGTGCCCTCTTATTTCAATGCTGCAGTCTCTTGGTGTTTTATACAAAATTATGTTGCTTTGCCTTCAGTAATTTCCTCCTCCGTTCCTTCTGTATAGATGGAGGGAATACAGAAGAAAATAATTAGAATGAAATTTATATTCCTAAATTGATCTTAACCTTGGAAGAATGAAACAGTAAGACAGGAGTTTTCATGTAGCATTTGGTTTACATTACTGCAATACACTGAAAAAGGTTCACAGCAAAATAACCATTATCTGAGGAGGTATGGATAGAAATACAAATGAATATTTTTCGAAGGAGAAGAAAACAAAGGAATAGTCATGGATTTGGATGAGTCTGTTTAAGCTGAAGAGTGCATTGGAGAATATGCCATGGAGAATAAGTTTGCACTGGAAAGACAATGGATTTGATGATCTAATAAGTCTCATACATCTAAACTGTATGATTTCACCCACAACAGAACCTTGTTCTCTTTGTACTCGCTGTTCCACAGAGCAGTAATTATTGCTAACAATGTGTCTGCTTGCTGGGGCTCTCAATGTGCCAATCGTGGTGCAAATTTATTCAGCATTTAAAATATGCCGAGCACTTCCACAGATGGGGTTGTGAAAACAGCAAATTTAGATGTTCTTCAAATATTCAGAATTAGAACTCACCAGGGAGACACAGACAGGCACCTCCTATTCTGCACCAGAGGTAAGTGGGAAATACTCTGAGAACACCTAAGCAGATGATCTGCAGCTTTCAGCAAGAGGCTCTTCATGAGTCATGATGAAGTTCATTTTTTTTCCCACTGGAGAAGGGTGTCCCTCAAAATGTTTCACACTTCAGTCTGAATGGGGATCCATGCTTCATCCAAATAAACAGTCAGATCCTGGAAAAGTGAGATGCACTTTCACAGTAACATTTTTTGTTTTGTCTTTCTTTTCATATCACTGCAACTATCTGAAGAATTAATTCAATTTTTCAATGTATTTCTGCTGTTTCTCGTACACATGAAATAACATTAAACAGCACAGACATTGCAAAAACCAAAACCAAACCCAAACAGTGTTAAATGCCCATTGTTTTCAAATCCAGATATGAATAACAATTGCCAGTAAATTATAAAGCCCTGCGTTTCCCTGATTGCCACCTCTTGGTGTCCCCTCCAAACCTGCTCACAGGCACACAGGTGTTCACAGCTGTCACACAGAACTCATGGCTTTCACTGGCCATGGGAAGATATTTCCTTGGCTTACAACGCCATGCATGAGAGAAGGGAAGACATTTAGCCAAATTCATCAAAGTGAAAGAGAATAAAATGTATAGAAAAAAATTAACAATATTTTCTTAGAACATTGGGACAATTTTATAAAATTCTTCTGTTGGAGAGCTGGCCCAGGGATGCTGGCAGGCACACAACAGGTCTCAGCTTTGACATGAAGTGAACAAAAGAGTTCAACACCTCTTTCTTGGACTCCAGATTATGAGGAAGCAAAGGTAACTGTGGAAGCTCTGAGGCAATACATGAGTGGAAGTTGTTGTGATGGAGAAAAAAAATTCCAAGCAACAGCAGATGCATTTAATGTGATATAGAGAAAGATGAGGGTTAATGTGGTCTCCTCGAAGCTTTTCCTTAGGTTACACTGGTGATGCTGGCATGTCAGTGTCAGCCAGTGCACCAATTATTCACTTCTTGGAAGCTTAAGCTACATATGGTAAGAAATTTAGAAATTACAACACCCTAAAATGGTGACTGATTATTTAAATCCCTTCTTGGGTTTTTGAAACTGCTTGTAAAATTCCCATCCTCTCTGAGCATTAAGAGTGTGTAGGGCTGGTTCAAGCTTGCCTCAGAGCAAAACAGCTTTATCTTGTCTGAGTTTGCAGCAAGTAAGGAAATTGTCTGCTGCTGTGTATCACTCAGGTAATGAAAACACCATCAAAGAGTTGTGTTTGAGCACCTTTCTAAATGTTGTCTTTAGAAAGGAATGTAATGGGCACTGACTGAAATTTAGTACTGTGGTTCAAGAAACAGAAGTTTTTTTATGAGACACTAACTGAAATTTAAGAGCTGGGTTTGGTTTGCTTCTTTTTCCCATTTCAGAAAGTTCTAAATTACAAAATGCTGGTCGCAAGCAATCGGTTTCCAGAAGCCTGAAGCACCTTTTCCATTCATCAAACAAGTTTGTGAAGACTCTGAAACGGTTTGTCATTCCTTCTCTGTTCCAGGCATTCTGAATTTAGGCAGTTGTTCTGTATTACAGAAAAGAACCTTAGAAATATGTATGAATATGCCACTACTGATGAGACAGCAATTGGTCAGAACGAGCTGATAAAATCACAGATGTGTAAGACTGGTGCAGCTGACAGGAAAAGAATGCTCCAGCTCCTACTGAAATCAATAGAATTTTTTCCTTGTTACTTTTGGAAGTGGATTCAAATTGTTACAGAGTGAAATATTCAGCGCAAACCCAAAGTGCAGCTACTGAGCTGGTTGAAAGCACTGCATCTGTTGCTGCTCATTAATGAAACTACAACATTTATTCATTCATAATATAAAGCACAGAGCTCAGATAACACTTGAACACTCCACTGGCAACAAGCTACACACATAGAACTCTGACATCCTCAGCTGGGTTTGCAGCCCACTGTCACCCAGCTCTCAGCCCTGATCATTTGTTTTGCAAATGAGAATTGCTTATTCTGAATTATTTCGTCTTTCATTGCCAGGAGTGTTCAATTTGCATTTTCTTCTTTGTATTTTGATAAGATTTTGATTCTTCCAGAAGAGCTCTCCAGAGTCTTTAAATTCCCTGCAGTCACTACTTAACATATGTAACTAATTGTAAGGGTAAATATTGAAAGGAATGATATCTATAAACAGGTTTGCAGATATGTTGGCCAAATTACACTCAATTACACCAATGTAAATCCATAATAACCCACCTGATTTCAATTGAATTACTTCATCTCTGAAGTAAAGGAGGGCAGAACTAAGCACATTAATGATAAGTTTTAGTAAAATTTCTGATATCTAAAGGGCATAAGGCCTCCACTGTATACTGCGTACTCTGGCAAAATTCTCACTGAAACTGATGTCAGTGGCTCACACAGATCCATAATCTCTTAGATTCATGCAGCCTCACATCATCTAAAGTGATACACTTCCCAAATATTTTTCAGAATTCACTGACTGAAGATGCATGACCTTATATTACACAGAAGTTCAGAGCAAATTATTCACTTTGTCTCATCAGAACTTAACATCTATGATTCTTTGACTAAATTTGGCATGGATGTGAATAGACATGAAAGGTGTTTGATAGTGTTTCCTTCTCTCTTTAGGGGACTCTACTTATCTGTTATACTTTTTTACAAAGACAATTTGTTAGTAACCAATGAAGATCAGATCCCAATTGTGGAAATCGATGACTCTCACAGTAGTTCAGTTATGCAGGATTTCCTGTGGTTCACAAAGGTAATGGGAGTCTAATTTCATCTATTGCTTCTGCAAATTTGTTGCTAGCAATGCATAGGCCTTAGCTCATCACTCTGAATGTATGAAATGATGTCAGTAAAAAGCTGAATTATTAAATGCTTTATCACTCATGTTAAAGGCAATTTCCACAAACCAGTCATGTGAATTAAATCCTGACTGGGCCACTGGCAGTGATACAATTAACTCCTAAGGTATGATCCTAGATGAGTGATTGCTATGTGGGTACTTACAGGTTTTATGGACATTTAGAGCAAGAACCTAAAGAAACAACCTGGGGTTTTAAATTTAGTATTTGTGGTTGTGCCATCACTCAAGTTGTCTCACACTACTTTTTTTTACCACAAAGAACAGTAAATCAGTTTTGCACAATAGTCCAAAATCAATTGAAACAGGTTCATGGTGCTTACAGAATACCTCCTGTGTGAGTCAGTACCTGTGCCATGTTTATCCAGTCAGCTGATTGCCGTCTGCAGAAACACAAAATGTGCAATATCCACTGATTTTTCAAGTCCAAATTGCATTTTAGTATCACTTCTGCTTTTGCAAATGCTGAGAACAACAACTGGTTGAAGTGTGTGTGTTTTTGCAGCTGTCTTGCATGTGGGATGACATCAGGTGGCTGAGGCAGAACATGGCAGTGTCCGTGTCCTCCTCCACAGCACTCCAGGCCAGGCAGAAGATGCTCTCAGCAGCAGCACAGCTACAGGTGGGTCCCATGGCATATTTCTGCCTGCCACCTCAGTGACTTTCTGATCTGCAAAGGACAGAGCTGCCAGCTGTCCCTAGGACTGTTCTTTGGAGCAGCAATCTCATCTCCAGAGAAATGAGTCTCTCCTGCCAGGAAGGAGGGAGTTATATTACAAGTAAAGAGGAACAACAAAGGAAAGAAACAATAGGAAGAAAGAACAAAAGAAACAGACCAAGAAACAAACAGATACGAACCAGTAAATAATGACCAGGCAGAGAAGCTTGTGAGTTTGCAAATTGGGAATTCAAAGTTATAATCCTAATATTTGCTCCTCAAAAGCCTCTTCTAGGCCTATTCACTATTAATTATTAATATCTTAATGAAGCATTTAAAGTCTGTTCTATTCCAGCCTCTGCTATGGATGCAACCTGAGTGTTACTGAACCAGTTACTTAAATCCTTCTGTGTCTCAGCTCACTACTTGTTATGCAAATAGAAATTACACTTTCTCCAGCAGAACATTTCTACCTTTATTGTAAAGCTTTGAAGCATTGGGTTGAGTTTCACGACAACATGAAATCTCTAGATGGCAGGCAGACACTTTCATTAAAATAGTTACTTTTGTGGGAAAATACATTTTCAAAAAGCTGTGTGCATGGTTGTTCCAAAAAAAGTATATCCAGGCCTCACTTTCTCCTACCTTTTGTTGAAGTCACCAAAACTTCCCAGAGAATCTGTGGTGCACTCCTGGCATCACTGCAGACCCTCATTGCTGGACACTGCTGGCCACACGTCCCCCAGGGCTGGGTCAGCACAATGCCCTGGTGTGCAGCAGCTGGGAGAGCCACACACTGGGGGCCATTGCTACAACATGCATGTGGGATTTGTTCTACACCCTTTGGTGAGCATGCTGTGCACGAGAGCAGCCTTCCTGGGCAGCCACCTGTCTGGACTGATTTCCCCAAAGTGCCCCAAAATACATCAATACCAGCCTGCTGCACCTTTATTGGAGGACCACCTGTGTTAAGCAGCAGCTGCTTGTCAGCCCTTTGAGCTGTCCTAGAGGAAGTTTTAACTGGATCTGCTGGGTGTTCCAGTGGGGTTGGCTCAGCTGAAGTGGCACACGTTTGGTTAGCTCAGCTCCATCCCCCCTGTGCAGATCCCCTTGAACAAAACAATACCCTGGGAGATACCAAACATCCCCAGGGCATCATGGTTTTACTGGCTACCAGAGATGCAAAGTGCAGAGCTTGAAACACAGAGACACAGCAAATATGCCCGTGTGGTGTATTCCCTGCTGAAGTTTTGCCGAATTTATTGCCCTAAATGCCTGTTCTGTTTGCTGGGTCCCTGAGGAGCACAGGGATTGTCACCAGCTGCCAACAGCGTGTGGCCTAATGGGATCCGCCAGTGGAAGGATCTCAATAAAGTTTAGATGGTTGAATACTTTTTATTGATTGTAGTTAATAGGCTGATTCTGCAGGAATTTAGGACAGAATGGAAAAGATCAGTGATGACACAGCTGCTCAGGGACTAGATCAGTAGATTCACAGACAAGAGGGACTCAACTTTGCCTGTTGTTACCACCAGACAACTACAGCAAACAAAGCACAAGTGATGGTGTAGCAAGCTAAGCAGACACAAAAGATTTTTAGGGCATGGATCAATCCCATATTGATATTAGTAGGTCCCCCATTCCCTGTGCTGGAATGTCATTCACAACATAGTGACAATAAAGAACTGTTTGTTTTCATCTGGGCACATTCAAGTGCTGCAGTGATTAATATGACAATTGGATGGCTAAGGAGTACTGCCAGGACCTGCCCCAGCTGGAGACACAGGGATTAGCACAAAATGTACACACAAGACACCCAGACTCAGTCAGAGAAGGAGACAAAAAGACAGAACAGTTAAAAAAGGCAGAGGGGATGGGTTATATAGATACTAACAGTCTGTCCTGGAAAGAGATGCACAAAGCCGAAATAGACAATTTATAGTGCCCAAATCCAGGCACTGTGCTGACTACTGAGAGTTTATAAACAATTTAATAATATTAGACTTGATAAGTAAATATTGCCTGCTAAGTGCAAATAATTAATTTCAGTACAATCTATCAGTTTACAATGTCATTAACTTAATGTACAGCACTTCCCCAAAGATACAATGTAGTTCATTGTGAATTCAAGTTTTCCTTTTACACTACCCTTCTCCCTTTCCAGCTTGCTGTAGATCTCTTGAAAAATCACAAAGTAATGAGCATATTTTAAATGTTAAGCATTTTTCTTTACAACATCTGGGAATCTCTTCAGTGGCTGGTCACTGGATTGAGTGTGTTTGCACCTCTAAGCAGATGCCTTACTGTGTGAGGAAAGGGATTTTAACCAAAATATGTATTTTATGTGGAGTATTTTTAAATTACTTTTCTTTAATCCTCACATATTTTCCTGGAGAACTTTGCCTTGGTAGTTTTGTGAGTTTCTGCCTGTTTTGTCTAGCACATTCTTGGTATCTGAAGTAAAAGAATTTGTGTCTCTTCAAATCCTGTACTTCACAAACACACTCCACAGTTTAGCTCCAGAATTATTTACATTCAATAAAAACAGGAGGGACTCTTGCTTTTGTTGCTGAAAATAATATGAATCATTTTAAAATGGAGAATAGAATGGAGACTATAGTTAATGAACACAGCACAAAATATTTAAAGTGTCTGTTATGAGTGATTTATGGGAAAAGGAGGAGTTTTATGTGATCTCTGACATTTGGTTGTGGGAAGGTTCAGATAAGCACCCAGCTCTTAAGCAAGTTCAAATCAAAGGAATCACCAGCAGGCCAGTGGGTGCTTTCAAAAATGACATCCTTCATCTTTACATGACTGGGCAAAACTTGGAAGTTTGGCCCAAATAAGTGCATTTCTTTGCAGTAAATATGTGAATTAATTTGCCTTTTACAAAGTCATTGGGTCATAATAGTCTTTCTGAGGTTCTCCAATAAACATTGGAGTAAACACTGCTGGACTAAATGCATCAGAGTATCCACGACTCAATCCACAAACACAACCTAAGGGAAAACATGTCCTTTTGTCACTAAATGATATGACTGTAAGGCAAGGGTTTGAGAAACACAGTGTGTCTCGTTCTTAGTGAAGCCAATAGGACTGATGTCAGCGAGCACAAAGTTAAATTTCAAACTATACTCTCCTGATATGTGATAAATAATTTTCATTTTGTATTTGTTTTCTAGAATTTGCTGGGAACTCACAATTTAGGCAGAGTTTTTTATGAGCCAATCAAGGATCGACATGGCAATATGCTGATAGTTACTGTAAGAGAAGTGGAGAGTCTGTACTCATTTTTTAATGGCAAATGGATGCAGGTATCCAAACTACAAAGCCAGAGGAAATCCCTCTCAACTCCAGAGGAGCCAACAGCATTAGACATCTTGCTTATAACAATCCAGGTAGTGCTTTGCTTCTCTTACTGTGTGTTATTTGCTTTTGTAAAGCCTGTGCCAGAGCCCCGATTTTTGGAAACGTCTTGTAGAATTTTAGGCCTTAGTCCAGTGCCCAATAAAATCAATGGCAAGGCTCCCATTGAGAGCAAAGACTTATATTACTTCCAGTGGATCTGGGATCAGACCCTTAATATGCAAAATATCCATGAGATTCTAAAGAAATTACTTCAAAGTCCTAGCAGGGAATAGTAGTTTCTATCAATTTCGGGAAACCAGGCTATGGAATTTTGTAGCAAGGGATATAAAAAAGCTTTAAAATTATCTGGGATGTTCTTAAGCACCTATACAGACACTTAGAATTTCTACACTCTGTAAGATTTTTCCATCCAACCTTGAAAACTAAATCTAGGTTTTAAACTTTACTGTTCTACTTAATAAGCTTCTTCTGTGGGGTTCAGGGTTCCTTGGAGCCTGGTGTAGCCACCAAGGAATCCTTTACTGACCAAAACCCTCCTTTAATTTCTGCATCACATGCTCCCAGACTTGCAATTAGAAAAAAGTAAGGACTGATCTCAGAAGCTGCTTGGCACACTCAGCTCAGTAACCATCCCTGAGAGCTGTGGGGTTCAGCCCTTCAAGAATTATCTCTGAACGCACATTAAACAGAGACAGTTCATGCTAAGATTAATACATGTTTTCTGTAGGTAACAGCAGCCAATCTCCCTAAAACTGTTGCACAGTTACCCAAAATACAAGACAAATCATTGTCTTAGTCTCTTCTTTAGCACTGTCCATGAGATGATGGCTGCTGTGGTTAATTTTTGAATTAGAGGCACTTTCTGGGGCACAGACTCTACTTTTCATACCGGGAAGTGACAGGCAATCAAAATATATGTTACCAGGTTTTAGGAATTTTAAAAAATTTCCAAAAGACAATAAAACTTACCTGAGCTATGCTAGATTTAATGTATTACAATGTGTTAAAGGTGCAGAAAATTGTCAGTCTGGGCAAAAGTTTTATATTAGGAAAAGCAAACTACAGTCCTGATCAGATTTCCACAGAGATCCTAGTGGAAAAAATGTTCCCCTAATGGTTTACACATTCCTATCTAATGCCCACCCTTTCTTCTATTACTTGTTTAATCATCGAGTGGGTATTTTGTTCATGAAGTGCTTGTGAAAATGAGGGTCTAATTGCACTGGTCAGAGCCAAGCATAGCACTGGCAGATAATTTGATGATTCCAAGAGTAAAGGCATAGGGCCAGGTGTCTTAATCCTCACCCACTGCAGAAGCACACATTTCTCAGGATGGATGGCAGCAGACATCATTTTTCAGGTAGTTTTGGAGAACTGCTATACACAGCCCTAAAAATGTCTCCTGGCCTCAGCAAATCCACCATCAATACTAATTTCTTCTAAGCTCTATTTGTTGATAAAGACGTTTGTTCAGAAAATGCTGCCACTTGTTCAATTTTGCAAACTACCAACTCCCATGCTGACAGAGATCCTCCTGTTGACAGCAGGTGATACAGAGCAGGTTTTGGAGAGATGTGGGCTGGCATCTCCTTGGGGACAGCCCTGGCTCCTGCAGCCCCTCTCTCCCAGCTCTTCCCCAGCGCTGCTCTGCTCCCTCTGTGTAGTCATGAACCAAACCCGAACCAGGGAACTGCTCTGCTGAAAAACAACTGCTCCTTTTCCCAAGTTGTTTTTCAGAGGAATCAGTTCCCTGACCCAGCTCACCACTGAAATGATCAGACAGGAGGCAGAGGTGGGGGTTATTTAAGCCAGTTTAAACACCACGGTTGCAGAAGATTGAAACCTCAGGTTGTCAGAGCCAATTCCTGCATGACACAGAGACCTTAGAGATCTTGTGTATGGCTTTAAGTGAGAAGTTGTCCAAGTGTACCCGAACTACCAGAGATTATTCATATGCTTAACCATGTGCTTAAATGCTTTTTGAATTGGGGACGGCTGTAAAAACATTTGTTGCTTTTTGCTCCCAAACTCTTCTGCTTATGTGGAAAAAAATATGAGATTTTTATGTAGGACTGTTTCTCTTAAAACAGGACATACTTTCCTATCACAAACGAAGTCAGCAGCGCCTCCCTCCCGGCTTGTATCTGGGTTACCTTAAACTCTGCAGCTCTGTGGATCAGATCAAAGTGCTTGTGCTGCAGAAGCTGCCCAATGTCCTGTGTCACGTCAAAATCCGAGACAACAGCAACGTTTCCAAGTAAGTGAATATATAGATTTACTTACACACACACACACAAAGAACAGTTGTTTTAGGTTTGAATCAATTGATCAAATGTTAATGCCAAGGCAATTCTGCCATTGCAAAATTGTAGGTGGCAGCATGGTTTGGCTCTGGTGTGCAGCAGAAGGGTTTGGCTCCAGTGTGTGCCATCCCAGCGAGCCCTGCTGAGCCAAACAGGTGCACCTGAGTTTTCCCTGCATCTGAGGACCTATCCAGAGCACATGGTTATGGGCCTATTGGTTTCCAAGGATGGTATTCCATGGTTATTCCAGTTCTGCACAGGGGCAATGACCTGTTCAGAAGATTGTAGCCTGCAGCCGTGACAGCCTTCAGTGGATTCAGTGCCACCCTTTCCATGGATTTTCACTGACTGTGGGGTGTTGGTGTGGGGACTTTTTCTGCTTATTCTCTTGTGTGATATCTGTTTTTTTAACCCTAAACTACAGCAAACATGCAGCAATTGAAAACCATATTTATAAATGCCAGAAAACTTCTGTGCTCTGGGAAAGCCATTTTCCCCTTGTCCACTGCTTCCCTTATCCATTGGCAAGGGCCCTGTTTGTACTGCCTGGACCTTGCCCAGTGGGAAACACATTTTACTGACTTTTTCTGTAGCTTTTTTATCATGTATCATTCCAGCAACCAGCTGAGAATTTTGCACGAGGAAGAAGGAATTGGATATTTACATAGACAAGGATACCCAGAATGTAGTAGTGAACACTAACAACAATGTTGGAAAGAATATAAAGGCTAAAGCTTCAGAGTTTACAGCAATCCCTGACTCTTGAAGTTCCAGATCAGATCTTTATGTAGGAATAGATTATACCACAACTATTACTTCTCTTGTAGTGGGGTTTCCTGTACATTCTTTTTTTTTAATGTTTGATGCTGGCTGCTATTCAAGACTGAATACTGGGCAGGGTGAATTAGGGATTTGATCCAGAACTATAATTCCCATGTTTATCAGGTCTCAAATAGAGACATGTGGAGGAAAGCAGGAAGTTCTTTGGCTGCAGTCAGTAGAAGATAGTCCTTCACAGAGATCAAACTTCCTGTGAATTGTAGCAATTTCAAATGCATTTTTTTTTAAATATTGTGGTAGATAGGAAATTAAGAATGTGAAAGAGAAAGCCTGAAGTGAGAAGCCTTACTGAAATATTTCAAGGGCAGTTGGACTTCCAGAGGAATGTTCAGCCTGATGTACATGTGCTAGAAAAATAAAACTTCTCAAAGTTCAATCAAGATCACGCAAGTTTAGAATGTTTTGGTATATGAGGATTAAAGTATCAACAGATCCCAAATGCACATACACTGAATTCCTGCTTGTGCATTGTACTGTTGTTATATTTCTAATTTTAACTTGACTCAACATACAGAGATGAGTGGGAATGGATCCAAACACTTTCTGGCTCAGAATCCGTGGAAAGTATGGATCATGCTTCAGACTGCCCTACTCAATTGTTCTTGTATGAGCTCCAGACAGCAGTGAAAGCTCTCCTCAAACAGATCAATCTACCTCTGCATCAGGTATTTTGCCTTTGTGGGATTTATCACCTTTTAAAACCCCATTCTTAAGAAACCAACGAAAAGCTACAAACTGTGTCACTGAAAAGCAGGGATTCAATGTCAGGTTGCAAGAAAAGCAAAGCAGAGAAGTTTTGTATTCCATTATTCTAAGGGGGAACATCTTCAGTATAACAGTTTTTATCCTGGACATTTGAACATTCAAGGATTAAGAGGCAAATTTCAACTGACTTCTATTTTTTTCATCTTTTCACTTATTTGTGCAACTTCAGGCAGGTCCAAATAGGCACTTTTGCACGAAAGTCGTAGTTTTGAGCACCTTTACGAAGCTGATAAAGAAAAGAGGCATTTTTGCAGGCAAGCACAGCAAGTGACAGTTTTCTGGGAGGCTTGGAGTGAGGCTGCAGGAGAGGCCCAGTAAAGACACAGCATTTTGCTGCTCTTTTGCACACAGATGAATGTACCCCTTCTAAAACACAAAGTCCCAGACCACCAGATTTCTGTGGGTGAGGAGAGGTGTCTGGCTTCTGGCTTTACATTTAGGTACAAGAAATACATATGTGAATAAATAAAGTCAGGGAGAATAATCTATGATGTGAAAGATCCATGAAAAAATAAGCTGAGAAGTTTGTTTCTTGTTTACATGAATTCCATTTTATTTTGGTCTGCAAAGGTAAAGAGGTCTTCAAGTAGAAGTAAATCATCTTTATATTCACTTCAAGTTCTGTTTGTCCAGCTAGAAAGATGTGGTCTTAAAATAAATTAACCTGGTTCTACATTTCTTGATTTTGAAAGGTTTAGGCTTTGCTTTTAAAAAGGAATCCATCAGTGCTTCACCTTCTAGCTAGGGAAGAGCCAAGTAAGACTCAAGTAAATCCAAAATTAAGACAGATGGTGTGCTGCCTTGTGGTCAGTCACTCTAATTCAATAGGGCTCTGTACAGGTCTCTATGTTACTGCATTTGCTTAGAGGTTATACCTTTTGTGCAACTTTTTTTTTCTTCTTTTAGAGTTAGGGACTAAAATATTGAAATCACTGTGCAATATGTTCCTGAGGCTGCAGCTCAGCCAAGCATCTGAGCTCATCCTTTGTGCCTGACAGATATCAACATGACCTGGCAGTTAAACACAGATGCAAACGGTCTGATGGCTCAGCACCAAACTTTTATGTTAATGAATTGCACTTTTAATTCCACGGATTTATTTATGTATTTTTATTATTTTTGTGGTAACTAGGAGCAGGGACAGTGGCACTGGGGCACAGCCAGGGCAGAAGGCAGTGCTGCACACAGCAGCTCTGAGCAGCCTCAGGCCACTTCTGCCTGGGCCATTTTCTCTTGCTGCAGCACTTGTTAAACCTTTTCAGTGCTGTGTTGAGGGAGAGCTGCATATTTCTCTTAACCAACCCTAAATTGAATCTTAAAGGTTTTTAATTGAATCCATTTTCATGTTTTCACATAATTATGCAATCATAATCTTGAAAAGCACATGGCATGTGATCATTTTCTGCCTAATAAGAAACATAAATGTTGTTTTCAGGGGGGTTGTGCCTGTGTGTGTTGTTTTAATGTGGAACATTGCAGCTTTAAATCTTTATTTTATGTAGTGACATGAACCCACATTTAGCCACCACCCCCCCCCCCCCCGCCCCAAATATTTACGTTTTATAAAAATTCCGAGCTTGATGTTGTGCAAATTTTCTTTAATGTTTTATATCATTTGGGGTGTTGTTTATATAAGTGCCATGTTGTAATTCTCTCCTATTCCTTCCCCCGCGCGTGTCCCTGTACAGGCTAAGCACTTCCGTCTGTACACACAGGAGGTGTTGGAACTGGGTCACAATGTCTCCTTTCTTCTCCTGCTCCCCGCCTCAGACGACGTCTGCACTGCCCCAGGACAGAATAATCCTTACACCCCACACTCAGGATTTCTTAACCTCCCTCTTCAGATGTTTGAACTTGGTATAGTAGCTTGCTTCACCTAGAAATATTAACCCAGTCTCCTTATAATAAAATCACAAAGTTGTATCTGTTTTCCCCCTTGTCCCAGTGGAGAGTCAATAAATCACATGATGGCTTTGGCAACAACACTCCCTATAACGGTGTACAAGTTACAGAGGGAGCAGGGCAGTTAAAGCATGCACTGTAGCCATCGTTATTGAAATGCAAAGCAGAGAGCAAGGCCCACAGTCATCCACTATGTGTCTATAAGCTTCTCTGCAAGATGATGTTCTTTAAAACTCAGAACCAAGAGAAATTACACATGACACAGCAGCAAGGCTGGAGTGTGACAGGAGATGCAGAAGTCGTCTCTCTCTAAGTTGTCACAAGGATCACGGCTGGTTCTGTAATGGGGATTTATGCAGATCCTGATTATAGATGGTCCTACTCAAGGTCTGACTCCTTCACAGCTTTGTGAAAGGTCTGAATAGATTTTCCCATGTGAGGGGCATCTTTTTCCCTTTGATACCTAGAAAAATGCCAGAGACTGTCCTATTGCTGTGGGGCAGCAAAAGCCTGTTGTGAAAAATGCCAAAGCACTGGACTTGAATCTCTTTCTTTGGAGGCACATCTTATCAGTTCCCTTCTTCCACTGCATTGCTGACTGGGCAAGAATTCTCCAAAAGAGAGTTTTCCAGCTGTTTCACAGAAGGCATAAGATGCTTTAGCTTCAAGGTCCTCTATTTCTCATTTCTTCTTCTTTGGTCCACAGAGAAAAGAAAAGGTTCCACATAAAAGCAGCTCATAAAGACTTAATAGTTCTTTTTAGAAAGAATATTAAAATGTGGGGGCTGCTGAGCCTTACATATCAGTCTGCTCTGTTTCCTTCTGGCCTGTAAAACTGGGGATCTTTCTTTCCTCTGCCTTTGAGAAGAGAGAAAGATATGAGCCAAAACTGATCAAGTCAGTGCACCAGGAGCCACTGCAGGAAAGGCCTTAGTGGCAACTGTGTCCCTAGTGATGTCCCTCTCAGATGTTTATGTGACACCATTACTTTCCTATCTCCTGTGTATCAGTACCAAGTGCTGCTCAAATCATTTATGGAGATTAGATATTAATGGAGTGTCTTGCCTTGCCTGTGTTTCTGCAGTCACAACTCATCCATGACCTACCATCACCCAGCAACACAAATTTCATTTGGATCAGGCAGGAGTACAGCACTGGATTTATGCCACATCAGCCACAGCACACTGTGGTGCTGTGACAGCTCTGGGGGTTTGTGCTGCCTGTGGGAGGACAGATGCCAGCTGAGCTGCCACACAATTATGAGTGGAACAGCCACACAATACATGGTGTATTCTGCCAAGGAAAAGTTACCCCTTCAGAGGAAAGCTAATGTAAGAGTTAGCTCAGTGCTTTGGGTCACATGGCCATGGCTGCAGCGCCCTAAAGCCAGACTTTTATCTTCTGATGTGCCACCCTGGAGCCTGCTGGCCTCTGAGCATGGAGCACATCATTTCTCCTGGTGAGAGGGGTCTGCTGCCTTGCTACGCAAATTAATGCACAGAGAATATTAATCTCTGATGCAATTAATCTCCTCATTAGAGGTTGTGCAGACTATTTTATTCTCATTAGGTGGAACACAGGCCAGGGGCAGGAGTGCCTCTCATTTCAGGGACACAGCCTACATGGGTCTGACAAATCAACAGAGCCTGCATGGGATGGTGTGGTGCCACCAAACATGCAATAGAGCCATCTCCCAAAAGGCATTTCTGGTGCAACCTTCTCTGTTCTGCAATGTTGCTGCAGTGTGAAAGCAGTTCATGGTGGAGAAAACAGTATGGAAAGCTGAATCTTACTTTTGAGTATTTTTTTAAGTAAGCAATCCTCTGGCCAAAGGCAGATGACATTTCAATATGACTTATTATATATGTATCCCTGATGTTCTATAAAGTGACTGTGATTCACATCTCAAATATTAGAAGCTTCCATTCCCCATTAGCTGGTGGCTACCAACTATATAATTGCATAACCACAAAAGACTACGTTGAAGTAACATTTGTTAAAGTAACATTAAAGGGTCTGACTTAAAACCACAAAGGCTCGAAACTTCAGCACTGGAGCCGAAACCGCAGCTGTAATTCACTCAAGAGTCCACCACATATGGCATATGTACTGGAAGACCACACACTATTCACACTGGATCCCTGCAATATCTAGGCATTGCTGAAACCAGAAGGTAGAATTCATTCTTTCACTCTTTTTTGTGAGATTTCTGTGTTCAGATTAGGCCTTTATTGTTAATGCTAAAAATGTTTCTGTGATTGGATCTCTCAGTTGAACGAACTCTTCTCAATTATTCTAATAATGTTGTTTGTAAGGGATAAGTAGACGCTGGTTTAATTTCTTTTTTTAAAATATTTTTATGAGAAGAATATATGCCTTTTACACCTTTTACATTTGGAAATGCCCTGCCCCAGTCCAGGAGAGCAGCAGCAGTAAATCCGACTGGGCACTCGCTGCTCTAACAAGATCATGCTGTATGTTTGCATTTACTGCAGCACCAATGAATGGGGAAGTATTTCTGAAAAATTGCTCTCCCTCAGCAAGTTTCAGTACGTCTGCACTGCCATTTGGAGAGGTAACTGCTCAGTTTTGCCTGAGCAGTGGCAGGTTCTGGAATAATGTATCTTTAACACACGAGGTAAATTAACATTTGCAAAGCTCCGTGGCACTGTAGCTATTCTGTCTCTGTTACCTCTGGTAAAGAGGATAGCTCTGTGCTTCTCCAAAGTCAAATTACACAAAGCAAGAGGTCACGTTTGAACTTTCTGTGATACCCTTCTGCAGGAGAGTTCAGAGGATGATGTACAGTAACACCTAAAAGAGTTTTAATTATTTCCCCCAAACTGTGATATCAGTGCAATCATTTTCCTGCTGAGTCATTTACATTGAAGTTTCTGATTTAAGCCAGCATAGCCCAAGAGAAAGTTATCAGCTTTCAAAATTTTTTTTCATTGTTTCATTCTGAAGCACTCAATTTAAGAAAAAAATTAAATATGAGTTTCATTTTCAAGCCACATCACTACTTTCTTGATAAAAGAAATTATGAGCTATAAAGGCCTCAGAAATTGCCTTTCTGATTAAAGCTGTCAAGGGCAAGATAGCCTCTGGACCTGCATACTAAGGACCTGATTATCCCTTCACTTAGATATAATTAGAAATTACTCTTTTGAAATCAGTGAAGCTACAGAGTAAATCCAGTGTAAATGAGAGGAGAACTGAAGCCTGTATTATTCATTTCTAGCTTAAAGAAACCCATCCAGAGTTAGTTACTATATTTAATAAAATTTGTGTTCTGAAAGCTAAGGATTTCATATTTCATAACCAGAATGTAACAATTTTCCTTTGCACTTGGTCTTTTCACAGCTCATTTTTGCTGTTACAAGGAAAAATTTATAAGCCTGTATTGCCGCCTTTCTGCTGTCATAGAGCTGGACTCTCTGAAAACCCAGCAGTCCCTGAGGGAAGCAATTTCAGACAGTGAAGTAGCTGCAGCCAAACAAAGACACCAGCAAGTTATAGACTACATACAGGTAATAGTCTGTTTCTGACTATTCCAAGGAGATTTTAAGGTGGCTTTCTTAAAAATTGCATGGGGCTGTAATTTGAAATCTAAATGGAGAATTATTCACAGACATCATAAAAAGAGCAGTTGTATCAAAAGTGCAATTCTGTTTTTATGAAATTCAAACCCAGAACATGCTTTCCTTAGTTGTTGCTTTTATAGAAGGATTTTTATGGGTAAAATCAAATGACAGTTATACTAGACTGTTATAAAGAAATGTGTCAGTCTGCTTGTAAAACTCCCTCCCATCTAAGGAGGTAAGCTAGCACCATGTCTGGGCATTCATTTGTGTAAGAGTTTTTCTTTGTCTGTATGAACTGGGGACATTTTTCACCCTGATAATGTGGCAATTAAAAAAAATTAAAATGAAAATTGAGTCTAGGTTGTGCAGACAATCTCCACCAACAATATCACACTCAGGAACACAGCTCTGCATTTCAGATGTCAAGCTGGTCCCAAAAGCAGCTGTGAGCCTGGCCAGCACCATGCAGTGGCACTGCTTCAGTCCTCCAGTGCAGGAGGATCACCAGTGTTACCATACTTGTCCAATTTGCTTATTCTCTGTCCTTCATCCTGATTTTCCTCTACTGCTCCCAAATCAAGACTTTACCTACTCAGCTCAGGGCTCTTTGAACTACACTCCATTGTGCAGCACAGCAAATCCTGTCCTTTTGCTAGTGATTTTGACAATTGGTTATTTATAGATAAAGCTCATTACTTTTGCAGAGTATATCTACGGGCATGGTTGACCTGTCTTTCTACAAGAGATATGCAAATAACTTTTCAGCTCTATATTCTTAATATTCAAGCTATCTTCTGTTGGAATAGGGTCCAAGACACCATTCATCCCATTGACAAGATGTCCTTGTCCACTTGGAGCCTTGGGCAGCCTGCAGCAGGGCAGAGAGGGAAGATCCACTGTACTTCCACTCTCAGTCACCCCCATTCTCACACTCAGAAAATCTAGCTTTCTTGCATCTGCAGGAGAATTTGGAAAATGTGTATCCTTCACATCAAACCCAGGCATTTTTATGTTAATATGCAGGTACTGTAGAGACAGTTCTGTGTTCCTCTTCTCTGAAGTGTTTGAGGCACATATCTATGCTGGGAAAATCTATCTATGCTGGGAAAATATCAGTGTTTTGTGCTGAATTATTGTGACAGTGTATTAGGCCTGTCAGGTTTCCTCTCAAATGAAAACCAGCTGTATTCCACCTATTGGCAAAAATATCTCTGCCTACCACATACCACAATCTTCAGTGGTGACCACGAAACCGCAAGAGCATTTGTGTGATCCCAGATCTAAGACAGTGTTGAAGTCACTACACAAACCAAACATTGTAAAGAGCAAGGGAGTCTATATAAATGCAGTTCTGAAAAGGAGTCAGAGGGCAACTGAAAAGGAAAAATTATTAAAAAAAAACCCTGACAGAATGTAAGGTACTTGGAGTCTTTACCAGAATGTTACAGAGAAAGGAAAGAAATCTACAGACACTGAAACTAAAACTGAAGTTAAGCTGTAATTCATATCATGTAATGCTTCAAATGTTCCTAAATTATAAAAGAACCACCGTTCATTACAATGTCCTGCAGAACAGCACCAGGGGGAAAACCAACAGGATTTGCATTTTAATAAACTGCATGCAGGATGGTTCTTGTTTGGGGTTGAGGGAGGATCACAGAAAGGATGTATAAAATCTCTAAAATCAAATAGGTAAGATGTTTGCTAACTGGAATTCTCTTCATGGAGCTACACTGAAGTCTTGAAATTATGCAGGATTATGAATTAATCTCTGAACCATTTGCTATTCTTATTGATGGATATTCTTAGCTCATATTAACTCAGTGGCAAGACTTGCACTGACATCATTGGAGTCGGGATTTCACCTTTACATAAAAATGGCCATACTAGGTCAAAACCAAGATCCAGCTGCCCAGCTATCCTGCCTCCAACACAGCTCATCAGGAACTACCCCAGCAAATCTGGCATCTACAGTATCCCTTGGGAGTAAATTTCACACTTTGAATACGCATTTTGTGAAGTATTTCCAGCTAAGAGAAGTCATCTTCAAACATCAGTCTGCAGGCCCTCTGATCCCTCTGGCACTCTGATCCCTCTGGCACTCCCTAGCAGACAATTGTCACTGCACAGAGTTCCCCTCACTTTACTGACTGAACTCTCACTGCATTCCTGCAGAACGTAGCTTGTGTAACTGCAAAGCAGCTTGTGTCAAACACTGCAATATTAAGAGGAAGGCTCACCTGACATTCAGAACCTTCTGCAGGAAAAGTGAGAGGGAAGTTCTAGAAAGGACACTGCAGCAGGAGGGTATTTACTCACAGCTACTCTCATTTGATGGTTGCAACATTTGCTCAGCCATCAAAGATCTTGAATGGCTTGAAGATGATGTTAAAAGATGTTGAAAGTGTTCCATTATCAAAACACTATTCCAACCCACATTAAACAGCATCTTTCCTCTCTGCAGCGATACTTAAACCTACATCCTGCTATTGATTTAGGCACTTGTCTCTTATTGCCATCAAAAGGCATATCTTAGAACTGCTTTTGTGTAGATTTATACTTTTAAAATGTATGCAGACTAAAATGGTAAGGGAGAAACTGCAGTTTGGCTCATAGCTGTACTTCTGCTCTCCACTGATGTATCTGCACATGTGTATGTTCTTTGTTAAAAAATAGGTGTGACCTGAGCAATTGTTTTGACCTAGGTTGGCAAAGATGCTCCACAAGTCTTACTTTTATTGCAGTGCAGAATCAAACCAACTTCCAGGTGTGCTACAAACTGATCAAATTTTTACTCTGTCAAAATACAATTTTCATTTTCTTTCCATGTCAGAATTTAGGTCTGGATTCTTACTAACTACACATTCTTAATTGAGGTACCTCTTAACCAAAATCAGTTTAGACCTCCTCAATGTGAATGTTCTTTTGGGGGATGATGCTGCTCTCTCTTGGCAGTGACTACAGACTTACTTGGACACTTGAAGAAGTACACACTTAGGTAGAATTAATACTCATACTTAACTGTATTTTGTCACTATTGTTTTCTTCACAGCAAATTGATGAGATCTGGAGGGACATGAGATGGATCACAGAAGCACTGCAGTATGCAAGATACAAGCAGCCAGCAGCAGGCCTGCCCATAAAGAAACTTGTGGATCTTTCAGAAGAGCACTCTCAAAAGAAAATGAGCTCCACCTCTTCACATCTAGATTGTCTTCCTTCACCTCCCTCTTCTCCTGAGCCTAGAATCCAGAGGAGAAAAGCTATGAGTGGTAAGAGAACTTTTCTTTTTTTACCAAGCGCTCTTTGAACTCACTTTTAATTATAACAATTCTTGTATGTCCTTTCATAAAATGAGTAATTTTTTCCCATGCCTGTCAAGGTATTTTAACAATCACTTTACCAATCATTTGCCACTTAGTATACTGAGATCCTTCTATAATCTTTACAATCATTTTTCACTTTCAGCTACTCAGAATAACTGCTCATCATCAGCCAACTTTGTCACCTCACTGTTCCAGATCATTTAATGAGCAGGTTGGAAGAGACAAGTGCTATCACTGGCTTCTCCACGATGTCCAGAATTCCAGTAAAATTCATCCATGGTGAAAGCTGGCTCCTTCATTGTTTGCCTACACCAACAATCTGCTCTTTCATATGGAGGGAGCTTTCTCTTAGTCCTAATTACAGCTGCAGAGCCTGTGGTAAAGTACATTACCAAAAGATCTTCAGAGCTCTGACGATGGCTGTGTATTAATTGTGCACACGTTCAGAGTTTTGTTTGACTGATGAGACATGAGTTGTTAGCAAAAGCTATTGATCCATTCTCATCACTCATGTATCTGTTATTCTTCCCCACAGATAGTTTTCATTAATTTGACAGAATCTAACTCAAATTTTTCCAAAGTTTCCATTTGCCACCTTCTGTTTCTCAGGTATTACACCCATTTTCTTTCCAGGGTTTCAGTGTTCCTTTGTTTTGCAGCAATTATTTCTCATGCCCCTCTTGCTTTGTTTTGATAGAGCACATTTTAGTGCCAATAGTCCAGTTTAACAGCTGTTTTCACACACTTCTCAGAGTTTTCAGTGTTTTAGAGAAGCATTTTGAATTACACAAATTACACAAATAAGTACCCACCTCACTGACCATTATTACTTCACTGCATAGCCAGAAAATTAAACTGATTAAAGAAATGGATCACAGGAAATAAAAATGAAGCAAATGAAACAGCAAAACCCATTTTGCTAACAGAATAAGGACTTTGGAGGAAAAAATAAACCATCATTCTGCTGAGCTGTCTTTAAGCAACAAGTAAATGAAACAGTAGAAACAAAAGGAACAGATGCTGCATTAAACAACTGCCATGACCATTACAGTAATAATAATTTGGGGGTTTTTCAAATTGGCAGTTTTATACAGTTAAAGAAAATTAGTAAATCTATTCTGATTAGATTTCAGGAGTTTAAAAGAAAAGAAACCTGGTGCTTCTTTTATTTTAACCTCATGAAAGAAGAGGCTGGTGCTTTGCTTCACTCCATTATACAGTGGTGCTCTTTCTCAGCACCCCTCCCTGAGCTGTTTTTCCCCTGTATTACAGACCATGAATACAGAATAATTCTTGGCTTTGGTACAGTGCAAACTGCAGTTTTATCTTGTCCTGCACACCCTGGATTCATTAGTGGGCTGTATGGCAATTTACACAAGATCCAAGTGAGCAGTCAGCACTGTATAAAATCAATGTTTAATTCCTGGAATCTCAGATAAACTATCCAGGGCAATGGAGCATCAATCTATTCTATCACACATGTCACTATTCATTATCTTATTGATCCTTCTGAAGCCCAAAGACAGCAGCAATTTCAGTGCCAGTGTGAGATTTGGTCCACAAATTCACATTTGAATCCTGTGTGTCTGTTTTGAATTTGAACACACAATGCACCTGATGGCCAAAAGGGCAGTTTTTATTTATCAACCTCCATGTTGTGCCTTGAGCCTCTTACCACACTTATATTTACACACTGCTCACCGTTACAGAGATATAAATCTAGAGTAACTTAACTGACATCTTTAATAAAAACAGAACCTGGATTAGAGATTTTCTCTCTCACAAATCTCCATGTCTATGAAATTTAGTGAAAGCAAAATAAAAGAAAACAGATCCTCTCAGAACTTAATCCCAATTCAAATTCAATTCAATTTTTTTCCTGTCTTTAAAATAATAAACTAATTCTTTCTGGTTTTCCTAATTCTGCCACCACCTGTCTAACACATCTGTGACTCCTCCCTGACAAATCCTCCCTGACTGCCTTTGCTGTCCCCTTGGCTTGTGGCAATTTCACAGAGGAAACACACATACATTTCCAGCACTGGAGATTTAAAATTAGGACAAAAAGCAACATAAATTACAGTTAAGCCACGTCTCTGCTGAGCTTGTCCTGTGAGTGTTAACCAGTTCTCCTTGCAGACTCCCAGCCCTGCTCGGATGAAGAAGGCTGCTCCGAGGTCTTCCTCCCAACCGACAGCGACTACGACTCCAGCGATGCCTTGAGCCCAAGGGAGTTAGACCTGATTTACTCCTCATCCCAGGACATCTCCCAGCAGGCTGGCAGTGTCCTGGGTGGCAGTGCACCCAACGTGCTCCAAGCCCACGACATGAAGCCCTGCCTGGCACTGAGGGAAGGCCTGACAGAGTGCGGAGTCGTGGACACCAGTGCTGAATGTTGCACAGAGCAGATGAGCAGTCTGACAATGTCAGAGCTTACACCAAAAGGCACGGACAAGTCCTCCGGCTCCAAGCAGCCACTGGGCTTTTTAGGGAAAAAAAAGTTGGGGAAACACCAGCATTACAACTACTTCAGCCGGCAGCACCGCTGGCTGCGTGTGCACAGCGAGACTCAGGCGGGCTCTCTGTCAGAAGGTGTCTACACCCAGCATCTCATGAGATCTCCAGATTTGTCTCAAGAACCTACCTCCAGCGAGCAGGGGACCTTTCCCATCGATGGGTCTCGGGGCACTTCCGTACCTCATGCATCCAGCCTTCCAGAGGATGGAAAAGGCAAGTATGAGGAACCAAGGCAGGATGTGCACAGGATACACGTGGAGCCTTATGAAACAAGACTTCTGGATGAAGAGAGTGAGTCCTGGGCGATGGGCACAGACTCTGTAGAACACACAGATGTGCACAGTGCTATGCAACAGATCCCGGGGCCAGAGGAGCAGTCGGGTTCTGCTGTCCCAGAAGTTTTCAGCAGCACCCTTTAACCCCACAATCCTGCACTGCTTCCCATCACTCCACATGAGATATGAGCATTGTGATCACAAAGGCCACACTTTCAAAACCACTGGTAAAAATCCAGCTCCTGAAATGGCAACTTGTGCCACTCTAAAGAATCCTAATTTTTTGACTTTGTCACCAGATTTCTGGTCTCACAGAGGTATCATCTGTCATGAAGTGAGCATTATTATTACTGGCATCTGCAGCTTTGTAGGCAGAGTCATAACAGTCACCACATAACAATGTGCAATTGAGTATCAGGTTTTGCAGGTCTCTTCATTTCCATGTTTCTCTGAGCATGCAAAATTTTAAGCATGAGTGGTTCTGCCTGCAAGTTATCAGAAGTTGTAACATCCTTGGTGACTTTATGTTAGGACTGTGTCCTAAAAGTCTATTAACTTGTTTGCCACCACCTCCTGCAATTTTTTTTTTTACTTTTCAGCTTATCTTGAATGAATTTTGGTTGGATATAGCTGAAATACTAACTGGTCTAGTAAAACTGATAACCCAGAGTTTCTAGCCACTTAAAGAAATGAAAATTCTTTCAATATCTAGAAAATGTAATCAACACCATCTCTGAATGCTGTCAGAGCCTGACATAATTATCACAATTGTTTTTTCAGGAGCTTAGATTCCAAATTATTTAAGTAGCAAGTTATTTTAAAAGCTCAGGAGATGAACCTTTGAGGTCAAGAGCAGGCAGAATGAGGCCAGGTTCTAGATGAATAATATGCAGGGTGTATGTGAGATTGAAGCAAAGTTTTTCTTTTCTTTTCCCCACCAAACAAAAGCACATTTTGTTCTGTTGGCATCACTCTCACACACCCATTGGAAAGAAACACCCTTATTTTTATTCCTGAATATTCACCATAAACTCCAGGCGTATTTGATCACCATGTCTGAAGCTGGGATATTCTGGCAATTCAGATTAGGGAAGTTTGGGGTGCAGTTTGAGCGTAAGATTTTCTTTCTTTGGGCCCCAAATAAATACTAATGTGATAAGGAGGTTGGGATCTTACTGTATTGTGTAAAGGCAAATTACAGTGAGTCAGGGTTTTGTCCTTTGCAACCACAATAACTACTACAGAAGATGATCTCAAAAATGAAATCTACATTAATCAGAACCATAACACTGGAGTTGCTAAGAAATGAACTAATGTGTAGAGAAACCCCAGCTGTTGCACAAGCTTTAATTTTCTTAAACAGTTCTTGAAGTTTAATTTTATAGGCCACATTCCTGCTGGTTAAATTCCCTCACTCCGTGTTTGTGCAGCCTTCTACCTTTCAGTTTTCCAGCCTCCAGGTGGATACATTCTAAGGCCCCCAATAAAGAGATTTGAGTTAAATAGTTGAGTTTACAAGTCCTTGAGGTAAAGGTAAGGATTTGGGCCCATGATCTGTGGTCCTTATTAAAATAGCACTTCCATAACCCCAGTGCTATTAAAATCCCTGCAAACTCAATCCATAAATTCAAAAATAAATGTTATTCACTATTTTGTGCTTGGTCAGTATGTGGAAGCCAAGAAGAGTCTTTGCAGTGATAGGAAGGGCAAAAATTTTCTATAAGGGATTTACATCTGTAACTTCTCTTTTTGGGAGCAGGAAGTTAACTTCTTGGACAAAAAATACTCATTCATTACCTGATCCACAGTGAGGATGGAAAGACTTCCATTCACTCCCACAGGGTTTGGATGAGACCCACACCGAAAATTCCTGTGGGTGAGAAGATGCAGGGGGAGCAGCAGTGGCAGTGCCCATTTGCAGCTAGAAGGGCACACATTGTATGGAACTGGGGACGGGGAATGCCTGACTCACCACCGAGCCAAGCAGAGATGTCTGACTGTCACTGAGGGCACTCACAGCTGGTTACTTTAGATTCTGTTTATTAGCAGAAGGCTTTTCACCAGGGAGACACAAACAATGTAATGCTCCTGTGCAGAACCAGAATAATTGACACCGTTTTCCAGTGTTCAGCACCTCACCCGGGCTCCCCTAATCTGTTTTGCCTCTAAAGAAAACTGCCATAAAACTATTAAAGAATAAAATAACCATACGTTGAGGCCATATGTTTTTGCAGGAAGTGATGTGATAAAACAAGATGCTCCTAAATGAAACCCATCTCACTTTTCTTTGGCTCATCAGGAACAATGAGGGCAAGAAGTAGCCAAATCTCCAACAGAGAGGCACACACTGCTGGTGAGATAAGGATGTAACAATCTCTTCACTGCTCCTGCTGCTGGACCTTTCCAGAAGCAGGGATGTAGCTAATAAAGGACTGGATTCTCTACTTGAAGGAAAGCCTTGACTTCATCATAATCTTCTGTGCTGAGATGAAATTTGACTCTGGGGGTGCAAATACCAGCCAAAATCTATCCTGTCCTAGTTTTACCCTTGCTATGGAAGTAGTGTTTAGGTGATGGCCAATGGGATGTGCTTCCTTGATCTACTGCCTCCAGACTGAAGTTCTTTCACAAACTTTAATAGTCAAAGCACTAATTGATAGTTCTGGGTTTAAATACTTCTGGCTATAAAGCACTGACTTACCTTCAGGTAAAAATACATGTTCTTTGTTCAATATTGCTATCCCTACCTATTTTGGGTCTCCTTAAAAAAATAGCAGTGAACACCCAGAGATAAATAAATAGTAGAAAGCAGTGCCTTTCAAGTACTGCCATAATACAGATCACAATTCTTCTGCAGTTCTCCTGGGAACATCAAACACACATTTCACAAGCAACTTCAGCAACTGAAAGAATCCTGGAAAATGCACAGCACAGCACTGCCCCACTCCACAGAGTGACTCCACCAGTCACTCTTCCGAGTAGAGCTGAGCAAAGGCTCACAGAATCAAACTGAAATTAGGAGTCCAGGCCTTTAATTACTGGGAACCCTTTATCCAGACTGAGCTGGAGTGCCCCTCCAAGAATTCTTGCACAGAGCTGGGCAGTGCCACAGCTCAGAGGCTGCACCACAGCAGTTCCAGTGGCCAGCAGGCAGTTCATTCATTCAAAGGTGCCTGTGCCCTCTTTGCATCAGTTGAAGCTCTTCTCTCTAAGGGGCACTTGGGCTTTGCAACATCTGGGTCTCTCTCACTCATCTATTTTGTCCTTCATTTTTCAGGGAGTATATTTTCTCCTGGTCTGAACCCAGTCCCTCCTATTTCTAGGCATGACTTGGACTGGCTAGAAAAGAATACAGTGCTTTAATATTATGACTCCACAGAAATAAAAAAAAAATGTAGACCATATCTTCCTGTTTAGTGATCTCAAACTTTCCTGTTTCAGCTGGTAGGAAGTGAGATATAGATAAACTGCAAGGTTTACAATCAAAATTTCTTGCATCCACAGAAAGGCAGTCTGCAAATGGACAGTTTGTCTCAAGACACATGTGGCTCAAGCATTTATTTCCCATTATTGTATTTTTTACTTTGTTTTAGAGACTAATTAACAATTGGAATTTTTACATAGTAAGACAAAGAAATCTATAAAATAATGCTTTTAAATATAGACATTAAAGGGGGAGAGGGGAGATGGAATATTTTATCCTGAATATTCATGTGTTTTGGAAAGAGACAGTGCATCTTTAAATTCTCCATGGTATAAAGAAATGCATTAAGTTGCTGGTCAACTCTTTTAAGGTGTTTAAATGCATGGCTCTTGACTGTTATGTAAAATTTCAATACAGCCTTACAAACAACAAAGGTATAGTGTATTTGAAAATAGGGTACACAGTTTGGGAACTTACTCTGAATTTCTCTAAGGTGTTGAACTTTGCCATCAGCAAAAACTATTTTCAGTAAACAGGCCCTGAATTTTCAGACAATGGAGATTTCTTCAGGTTGGGTCTCAGATTTTTCCACTACAGAAAAACATAAGTAACTAGAATGCTTTATTTGCAAGTATAACTTATCTTTGGATCGCATGAAGTGGAATTCATAAGGCTGAATCATGCCCAGAAGTGAGAAGGGGAGCTGTTGGCCCCACATATTCTTTGCAGAAAGGCAGGGCAGCATTCCCCAAGGTCGATCCTGGCACAGGGAAGCTGGCAGCAGGGACTGGCCCGCAGGGCACCATCCTCCCTGGAGCAGCCCCCAGAGCCCTCCTTTGGCTCAGACATTCCTGCAAAGCCAGGAGGCATCACCTTGATCTGATCAGGCTCTGGAGCTGATCCATCATTGCTGGATGCTGGAGAGATCCCACCAGCTCAGAGGTCACCTCTCCTCAGTGCTGGTGTCTGTGAGCTCTGACCCAGGTTCTCAGCCTGCTTTTGGGGTGAATATGAGCCAGGCTGGAATGCCTTCCTCAGTCTTTTCTCACCACAGCATCCTGGGCAAGATTCAGCCTTTACACCAGTCAGCCCATAACAGGGGACGGTGTTACTAAGCTTGGCTGTTACTAAGCTACAGAAAACCACCTATATAGCTTTTCAAAAAACTAGGAACAAACTTTTTATGTTTATTATTTTCATTTTTTTTCTTAGAAAAGCAATGTGAAACTGATCTGACATTGGAGAAGTAGGTGTGGCACTAATCTACCTTAATACTGTGAACTGTATTAATTATTGAGCAGATTTGAAACTGAATGCACAGAGTTTTTGTGGTTTACTTTATGTAAAGGTTCGACTGGGCACAGTCCTGTTGTCCTTGGGCCTCACTCCAGGTTCTTTGCACCAGTATAAACCAGTAGTTTCTCTGAAGCTGGGTCAGGTACAGACCATGTACAGCCCAGCGCACCGAGGCACAGCTCCGTGTGCCTGAGACCCGGACCAGCGGAGTCATCATGAAAACAACACATTTGTGCTGGTGTAAAAAATGATGTGTGTAAGGAAGACAAAAGGCATTTGATCCCAGAATATTCCCCTGGAGGTCACAGGGATCGCTGGAGCCGGGCGCAGAGAGTGAGCCCACCCCCCTGTGTGACACAGTTGTACTGGGGGAAGCCCTCACTGCACAATTCACTATTGCTCCTTATAACAGGGACCACATTTC